ATGACGTCTGTCTAGCACGAAAAACGCAGACTTAATATCCGCTGTGGTCCACGACGAAAAACAAGAGACGAGTACTTAGACGGTAGAGCCGAGGTTGAACCGATGAAGGTACGTACCGTCGCCCCCTCGCCTTATCCCGAACTACCAGAGGTACGGGGGAACATTAACTGCGTAAAACACACCACATGTCACGTGAACCGCTAGCCTCACACGGTGCCCACCACGGATTTCATTGAACGGCAACCACATACTGTACACATCACCGACACTAGGTGGCATTAACTCAGTGGACCCCCGCACGCACCAATGGGGTTCGCCTATCCGCTCCGGTATGCACAACCGCGATACCCACCCATGCACACCGTTGTACAGCGACCGCACGGCGAAGTTCAAAAAAAGGGAGTACACCCTTAAAAAAACGCGACTACAGAAAGGTACTCTCCCGACTACTGCCCCTTCAATACAACACTGCATGCCTGCGTACGCGATCGAAACACCGCAGTGCACGAGGCACACAACATTCAGAAAGAGCATACCATAAATCTTGCCAAAGGCTAACAGAGCCCCATTGCAACCTACACAATTGCGAACAGTCATAAACCACAAATATAGTGTCACAATGAAGCTTCTCAGCATGGGTTACGAGTTTATGGTGGCATATCACCCTCCCGGCGCTGATAATCAAACCAGCACCACGCCACACAGCATATTGGTCACGGTTGTGTAATTACGTAACACACATGTTTGACATCCAACAGTCACTGAATGGCCCGACCACATCACTCGATCAGCAGAAACTTGTTCACCAGGAGCACCTTGGGGTTGCTGAAGCTCCGACAAATGTGCACCACCCTCAGGATCGTGGCCACCTCCACCACAGCGAACCTCGTCTCCATCCGGTGGGGTGTTAGCTGGATGCATGTGGTCAGGGGACAGAGCCCAGCCTGCTCATAGTACCGCACGTACATGTAGCCCTTCGGCTCCCCCTCATCCCCAGCCGCCTTGAAGATGCACAACACCTTGGCAAACCACTCCCCCCCTTTAGGCGCCAACAGTGCCACATCAGAAAACCACTTCTCCCCCGGGCTCGCTTTCACGAACGTGCCCTTGGCCACCAACGCCCCCCCACGCGTGCGCGGAATCGCCACGGCGGTGTGTGCCTGTGGAACACGGATTCGGGATGCGGGTGATTAGTTACCAGCCGTCTCAATGTCGCAATCTCACCAGCAGACTCTGCAATAACTACCATACCTGGACGCGCTCCGCCTTCACCCCTGCCGATCGCATGCATCCCACTAGATCCTTCATGTCGTCACCGTGCGACGCGTGGTACATCGCCAAAACGGCATCATCCTCCGCCCCAGGCACCATGAGCCGCCCCTTCCTCGTGAGGACCGGCTTCTTGGTCCGCACAGCCTGCACATCGGTGAATGCAACGTTCATTACCACCAGGCGGGATGCGGCCCGATTGTGTGTGGCCTCCAAGGGACCCTACCTCACATACCGCTTTGCAACCCTACCTCTCTGAGAGCAGTGGTGTACTGCCACCCGCCGCCTGCATCAGCCGCCACCTCCCGGCAGATCTCCCGTTGCACCTCCTCCTCGACTATCCTCCGGGGGATGTCTTTCCAGTTGCCGCCCCGAACCGGCACCTTGACCGTGCCCTTGTGTGTATGCTCCCACAGCTCCGTGTTGTAGTGGTGGGGCATGCCCCTGAGAATCACATTCTCCAGCAGGTGCTTGATCATGTGCACCTTAGGGAACCGCCATCCCGACTTCTGATCTGGGTATGCTCGTGGGAGAAGGTCGACCAGCCTGCCCAACCCATCGCAACAAGAGATATAGAGGTATACATTTGATGACCGTATGTCCTTCTAGTAGTGCAGGATTACAGAAACCAGCATAGGATGCAGGCGGTTCTCACCTGTATGCGAGCTCCCTTGCGTGTGCGAGCGACGCCCTCGTGTGACCATCCACGCCAAGAAAGGCCTTGTAGAACGTTGCGTATAACCGGAAAGCACGCACTCTCATAGCCCTCAGCTCTGCGTCCGGCCCCTTCCCAAGCGCCCCCTTGTCCGCCACCAGGATCGGCATGACTTGCATCATGGCGCGGTGCTCAAACGCGGCGTAGTTGGCACCACTGGCCAGATACGAGGATCCTCCCGGCAGCCGGAGCACTGTGCTCGGCGTCTCTGTCTTTGTGGTCTTCTTTCTCCTGCACGGAGGGTTAGGGTAGCACAGCAGACAGGAGGGATGAGGACATGTCACACAGCCAATCTATCATCACCAAATCATATCACACCTTTCGCATGCACGCACCCCTCTACCGTGCGCCGCTCGGGCTTGCTGAGAGTGTCGATGTGGCACTCGATCATGTGCAGAGCAACACCGGAGTCCAGCACATGTATAGTGTCAGCCACGCTGGCCCCATATGGGTTTCCCCACTCGGTGTCCGAGAAGTTCCACCTGCTGAGCACACACTGCACGTGAAGACACTCGTGTAACAATGTTAGTAACGGCCGTCAAATCGTGCCTCCCACACGCCCATGCGTTGCTATGCGGTATATCGTGCAAATCACCTCAATCGGGTGTGTTGACCATTCCGACTGCACTTTCTCAGCCGCCTTCACGGTCTTGCAAGCTAGAATCTGCTGCACCGCATGCTCCTGGGAAGCAGGGGTCCTGATGGTAGATTTGAGCTTGAGGTTTGCCAGATCATCCTCCTCCACGTAGCATGTGGTGCAGGGTCTCTTGGTCCCAGTCTGCATGGTGGCAGTAGCACGACATGCTTCAATAAAGTCCGCCGGGTAAGCGTAGTAGCATGGGACCGCCTTCACAAGTTGTCCGTTTGCGTCCGGCACGTAGAAGAAACGCATGGGACAGCTGGTTCGACAGGCAGTTGCACGCAGAGTTGTAAGATCATCAGCAAGCACGGGCATCGAATCTGGGACTGCACGGTGCACTGACACACAACGAGCATCACTGACCAGCAGTAAACAAACTGACCCGTCGCCCACGTCTGTGCACGGTCTACCCACGAACACATTATGGACTCACTTTGCCGACTCCCGCATGAGCGGTGCCAATATGATGCGTATGGCCTCTTGGAAGACCCGGGCCTTTTCTGTAGAGGTAGCCCACACGGGAGGAAAAGGCAGCACGGCCGCCAACACGTGACCAGGCTCCGTCCATCGCAGGTGCTCAGGAATGTTGAACAGTGTTATGAGCACTGGCCAAGCCTGCCGCCTGCCGTTCCTTGTTGCGTTCGTGCCATCGCTATACACAATGACGCCCAACACCCATGCTTTCTCGTCTTGTATCGCTTTCTGCGCTCAAACAAGGACGGCCAGGTATTGGTCTCAGCATCACTCAGCGATAATGGGACGCCAAGCCCCACAATGTCAGCCGACCACACAGCTTACCTCTGCTTCCTGCATCCACTTCCCAGTCTCGGGGTCGCTGAACCTCCGTTTGCCTGTGGTAGGGTCCAGCTCCGTCCTCGCCTTGGTAACGAAGCCTGGTACAGCGACGAAAGTTCGCACCAACTTCTTCACCAACTGCATGGCATTGCGTTCGACGTTACGAGTTGCGGCGTCATGTTGTGCATCGAATGTAGACGTAATATATTTGGAAACTCGGGCATAACCGTACCTGCTCCGTGTCGCGATAATGCAAGAGCAACTTCTGGACCTCTCCTTTGGTCCCGCGGACAATGATCTCCTCCACAAGCCACGGAACCAGGTCCGTGGGCGCTCTCGCGTTAGCCCATCGTCGCACATCCAGAGCATTTCGCCAGCGGCGGAGAGCGCGGAGATTGAAGCGAGGGTTGCGAAAGATGTGCAGCAAGCGGTTTACTTCGCGCCGCGAAAGGTCGGCATCGCGGATGAACAGGTATATAGCAGTGAGCGTGTCAAAGACAATGCCGTCCTCGCTTTGATCACTACAGGTGGACTGCTGCTCGTCGTCTACCGTCCCTTCATCACCTGCTGTCGCTTCCGCCACCTCGTCAGCGGCCGCCACTGCATCGTTAGCTAGCGAGTTCGGGCTAGACGTCTCGTTGGGGCGACCTGCGGTACGGGCGGAAACAGCCGCGTAGGCCTCCAGATAGGCCTGAGCTAATCGGGCGTCACGCTTGCCGAGGATGTTGCGTCTGCACTCTGCGCTCTTTGCAAGGTGCGACTGAAGCGCACAGTCATCGCGAAGGACACGCGGACACCCCCTGCAGCGGCAGGCCGCCATATCCGTAACACGGAGCCCTAAAAGTCAATGCACTAACGCATGAAGCAGTGGACACTGGGGTTGGTATCCACCCCAGTCACAGTCACTGGCTCAACCTCACCCTGATGTCGTTAACATGATGTTGCTATCAAGGAGAATACGTATGACTTTGTACCGCGTGCCACTTTTGACAATACAGGAGAGCTTTTTGACGGATCTAGGCTGGCTACGTCATGCGCTGCCTGGCACCATCGTGTGTCCCCACATATGCCTAGAGGTTCTTAGTGTTGTAATTGCCCATCCTATAGTACTCTGCGCAACAATATGGTGTACACATGTGGGTGACACTGGACAGTGTGTGTGGACCGACACTGAAGTGCGTCACTCTATGTGGAACGCATCAAAAATTTAGCGTGGGAGATAACATTAGGTACAACATGGTGAACACGTGGTCCCAGTACACTCGTGCACCTGTTTAAAGCAAACGGATTTCGACAGAGATGACGTTTACACGTTGGAGCCCAAAACAGCACAGCTCGGCCTCGAGATTTTTCCACCGCATGCAAAACGCGGGCCGACGTTGACACATGTCACGTCCTGGCGATTTCCCGCGCAGCTGCATGCAGATCTTGTAGCTTCGCCCATCCTGCTCGGGCTCGATATTCCCAGGCGACATGACGTTCCATTCCGCATAGAAAGCCAAGTCTGGGCACCTGTCTTGCTCTGTGTTAGTTCTTGTCACACTCCATCCCATGGTGTTCAGGCTTATGTAACGCCCTCCAATGACGCAGCCTGGTCGCGAAGGTATGGCGCGAGACAAGGTAGGTGTTAAAAAACCACGTAGCGGCACGGACAATGGGGACGTCACGGAGGTGGCGGCCTCTGCGCCCGCACCGCACGCAAACGCCGTCACAAGGGCCACTCGAAGTAGTACCCGCACGCAGCAAGGATCTGCGAATCAAGAATCCGCAAGCGCCGCTAAGAAGCTCGACCTGCCCAAGTACAAGACGAAAGTTAAAGTGAATACGGTGGACCCCGAACCAGATGATGTCGTTGTCCGCGTCGCCAGAAAGAGTAAGGATGTCTCTTTCACATCCATGTCTTTGAACAACCGCGCCGGACAGTCGTGCGTCGTCACCGCCAGAGATCTTGTGACCATCGCAGATGGTCAGTGCCTCACCGATGCGATAATCGACTTTCACAACATGTGAGTCTTGAGATCGCTGGTGAATCACGTCGCCGTCAAATACGTCAACTAACCTGGGCGTCCGGACCCCCCATGTGCAGATTGTTGAGCATCGAACATCCACGGACCCCTAATGGCAAGACATGGGCGGTTATGGACAGCATGGCGTATCAGTACGCCACGGGTTACAACAAGCCGTTCCAGCACGGCAAGGGGGAAAGTCTGCTCGCCGTCGACTTTCTGGCCATACCGGTTTTCAAGGGGTGAGCTTCGGGGTGTATAGGATGCTACGTCTAATTTGCTATGTCGTCTATGTCAATGACCCGACCTAGTGTCCGTGCTGTTCCACAACTCCATCGACAGAAACCACTACTCGCTCATCATCGTGTGCGAGCCGGCGAAGTTGTTCCGCAAGGACGGGGAGGGTGATGGGGACAAGCTGCAGATGGTCCTGTTCGACAGCGAGGGCACACATGCCGGGGATCCTACCGTCTTTGATGGCGCGAAGCTGTGAGTATGGTTGTCCTTGTGAACTGAATCATGAATGCTTGTGCTCTGCGGATGAACAATCTCCGTGTTGCACTGGTGCGCATGCTCAGGCTGCTGGATATCACGACAAAGCAGTTGCACCCAGAGTGCGACCACGAGCGACTTGTTTCCACGCTTTGGAGCGCGGACTGTGTGGTGATGCAGGTATGAGCCGTGTGGTCGGGCCATTAAAAGCTTGGGATGGAATTCCCATACGCGAAAGCCCATGCACTGACACACATGCCCACTCTTCCATGCAGACGCACCAGCTCATTAGGCAGGACAACCTGGTTGACTGTGGCGTATTCTTGTGCCACTACCTGCGTGGACTCGTAGAGTCAGACTTCTCAACGGTGCTGAAGTATCTGTATTTGGACGGCGTGAGCGGTGGCCAGTACCGCCGGCGCATGCGTGCGGATCTGAGCGCGCATGCAGCTTGTGAGCTCGTACCTGCGCTGACCACACGGGGGAAGATCGTTCCACCGCAGTATGCACCTCGGACATCGGAAATCGGCGCTGTGAGGGCGTCGGACGAGGTGGACATGAGGAGCCGTCTCGCTCAGTACCAGGTCGAGGTGTACGGACTACGGAGGGAACTTGTCATCTGGGGCGCGGCAATGACCGCGCTCGGGAACGCCATGGGGTACAGCAGAGATCAGATGCTCGCAGCTGCCGCGTACGTGGTGAAGACGGAGGGAGGGGCTTATCGGAGCATTGAACCCGGGGGATCACCCTCTACGCCGCCTCACCTGCCTACTGAGCGGACCGGTGGCCCCCTCCCCGCCGAACCCTGTGGCGTGCAATCGTGTGCGAAGGGTGGGTTTGTGGCACACACGGAATTGGGCGTAATCCATCGGCACCCCCGGCCCCTTCCTCCCTTATCGCGTGCGTCTCCGGCCCATGACAGTCCTGGTGGCCCGAAGACCCCTACCAACGGGAACGGTGAAGTCGGCCCGGGTGTACGTGCGACGACAGAGGTCCTGCTAGACATGCCTGCTGCGAAAAGGGGGGAGAAGCGACCACGTGTCGATGGCGGAAGCTTGGCAGCGGAAGGTACAACAGCCGCTGGTGGTGGGGGGGGAAGTGGTGGGTCCTCACAGTACACCGGGGTGCGGCGAGAGAAGAAGAGGGGGACATGGAGCGCGAAGATATTGGTGAGGGAGCCTGGTAAGGCCAGGCGGACGCAGATGCGGTAAATGTCCTCTTTATGGAGCAAGAGGCAGCTTACGCTTACGCCGCAGCTGCTCATGTGTTAAGGCCTGGCGTCGTCATTCCACGCACGATCCAGTTGACACCAACGGAACAGAGCCTACTGGCAGGATGCTCCAAAAAGGTCATCAAGCTCCTGGTCAAGAGCCGGATGTGGTTCCGCTAGAGAGAGTGGGAGCAGGCGGTGCTGGACTGCCATGGTAACATGGATATTCCTGAGACCGAGACCCCAACCGGGTCTGCAGAGGGAGGGGGTGGGGACGAGGTGGAGGAGGAGGGGGGGCAGGACGCTGATGTCGGCACGGACGATGGGCAGGCGGATACTGAACCTGTCAAACATACTGCTGCTGTTGGAGTTTATGGTCTTGAGAGTGATGCACAGAATGGAGTTCCAGGGGAGGAAGGAGTACCAGGGGAGGACGATCTGGTAGGGACCCAATTTGGAGAGTTTGACCCGGCTAGCCTGGGCTTGTGATGGATGAGGTTGGGAGTGTGTGGTTAGCTGCATGCACTAGAATGTACCATGCGTTGGTTTCGATTGTACCATATTGTTTCCTTGATGGGATTTCCCGACGCCATGCTCGGTCACCTTTATTTGTTCTTGTTGTGTTGATGTTTTAGTATGCGGTACTATAATAACGATGCGGATTGCCGTTAGCGGATACAATATTGACACCGCACTGGTGTACGTGATCGGCTCAGTGTATTCTACATGACCACTCGTTGGTACCACCCCGGATTCGGCTAGGTTGAGTTGGCACAATCTTACTAGTGCGTAATCTGGTTATGCTGACTGGGGCAAACAAGCAGAATTCGGGCTACACTAAGCGAACACCAACCGCTGGTGTATACCTTTGGGTTTGAGAGCATGTTGGACCATTCGGCGGGAGGAGTTCACGGGAGTTCAAACATGGAGACATCGGACGCGTCGATCGAGCCCCAGCCTGCTTCCAGGTCACAGAGGGTGTCCAAGCCTCCGTCGTACCTCCGCAACGCATACCAGCTGACTCAGAAGCGACAGCGCGGGAGGAAAGCGGAGCGATCGGTTGCAGTGCCAGCCAAGCGCGCCAGGGTGACGAAGGCGAAGGGGGTTCCTCTGAATGGTAATAGTTGTTCAAGCGACGACTGCGAGCATGGCCGTTGATTACCATTCATCTGGCACCATCTTAAAGTGTTGTGTTCGTTGTGTTTGTACGCAACTACAGCATCCGCTGCGCCAGAGACTTCAGTGGCGGAGGCACCTCAGGCAGAGGTGGAGATAAGCGTCGGTGCGGGCGATGAGGACATCGAGAGTGAGAGCGAGGCACGCCCGGCGCCCTCCCGGTCGAAGAACTTGGCCTCTGTGATGGCAGAGTCACAGGCGACTGCCACCACCAGGCCCCGTCCTCCGCCCGTGCGTGTGCCGGACAACCCTTTTGTGGCCATGCCTGTAGCTGGGTCGTCTCGTGACCCGACAGCGCCCGGGGAGGAGACACACATTCTGATTAGTCGCGCGGAGTTCGAGGCCTTGAAGAAGGCGCAAGAAGCGAGCGCGCGCACCGTGGCCCGTCTTGAAGAGGAGCTGAGGTCTGCTAAGGCTGTGCAGGCGCGTGCACCCCCTCGCAGGCCGGACGAGCATGTCTCGGGGAGCGGTGGTGCTTCTGGTCGGAAGCGGAAGCGTCGGGAAGAACTCGCCGATGAGGAGACATCCGACGAGGAGAGCGAGGATGAGCCACCCACCAAGAGGGGGCATCTGAGGGTGTCCAAGTCACCGGTCCTGCAGCGGGCGCTGAATTTTCTGCCCGCAAACAAGTCGTGGAAGGTGCGTTGTGACGAACATAGGTGCCTCCACCATGTGTTAACTGCCTTTGCACCCCTTACTACGTGCTTCTCAGAGTTTTGACGGCGGATGTGTGTGCTGGGTGGTTTTGATATGGTTGCAGCGCGCGTGCGACCTGGTGAAAGATTACCTCTTCTTTGAGAAGGAGAACGCCCGGATCACGTTCTATCCGAGCAGCGACGACAAGACGGTGGGAGTGTGTGCAGTGATCGAGCGCCTGCCTTTCGATTTCGCGACACTTGCTCTGGCTGCGGACAAGGCAAGACGGTCGGATTTGAACAAGGCCCTTAGCGAGTGGAAGTCGGGCGCAGCAGGAAGGACGCGGGACATCTCGTGTCCACGGATGGGGCTTTTCCGCGACGAGCGAGATACGCGCAGCCCATGGGCCACGAAGAAGGACCGTACTCTGGAGGAGATACGATCGCATTATGGGCTGCTGCTCGGCGTTGACGGTAAGGCGGTGGTCACGTGGTTGGAGAGGGGATGTATGCGGGATGCGTGGATCGCGGACTTACGTGGGCGTGCATTTGTGCGCAGATCCCCTGGCATTGTCCAAGTTTGGGAACGATCGGGAGGGGATGCCGTTCGCCTCTGGCGCATTCGTGGCATGCGCGGTTGCGGCATTCAAGCCGAAGAAGGTGGTCGGGCCACTGACGGTGAAGCTTTACCACCTGGCGTGGCTGGAGCATGTGGTACGTGCTTGGTGTTTGTTTGTGCTATGTGGTCACCCGTCCTCCCCCGGTGGCTAAGGGGCTGTTTGCGTGTCGCAGGTGACCGACACGCTGGTGAACTGGGAGGCGAGGAAGGGGCGACTGTCGAACTCTGCCTGTGGAAACGCGCAGGTGGTCGATGGGCTCGTGATCCTTGCGCGTGAGGCAGTGTCGAACGCGATCAGAATCTTCAAGCCTAAGTACGACGTCGCCTCGTGCTCGTGGACCTGGGGGCGCCATGGCCTTCGACTGTCCTCGTGCGGGCTGGAGGACTTAATTCCAGCGACTGCCGCTACCCGTGATGGGGCAGAGGTTCAGGCGGACGAGATCTCTGGGTCGCTTGGAGGCCCGTAAATGGTGGGGGTTGAAGGCATGTTTTCCCAGCTGGGGTTTGTCGTGCGTTTGTTGCTGTAGGCGGGATATTTGTGTTTGTTGTGGGTCCTAGCTATGTGTGTGTTTCTTTTGTGTCGCTTTGCTGTAGGTTTATTACGGATGGGTTGTGCGTTTTTGAAATACGGTGCAAACTCACGCGAACACTTAGGGAATGTAAACACACCACGTTGTATGGTTACGCCGTATTTGGTATCTTAATAACAGCATTGCAGTGTCTAATAGGTACGGATACGTGGTTCCGGTTTCACGAGCTGCGCACATTACTGAGGGCGCGCTTCGGGCCGCGTCGAACGTAGACCATTCGTGGCACGCACATTGAATAGGTGCTGTTGAGGGATGTGGTGGACGTTTTCCGCACATCTGACGTGGGATATGTTTGCAGTGGTTGGCCGCATCTCACGCGTCAATGGCGTGGCCAGTCGCACCAATAGGGGGAAGTAGTAAAGCTTGGGACCACGTGTCTAAATCCACCAGGTGTAAATGGTGGGCGGACAGTGGAGACACGTCCCGCGTATGCAGCGGGCGGAAGCTTGGTTCACTTTATCGTCAGGTGTTGGTGCACGCCCTGGTAACACCGGCTGAGGTGGCGAGCATGCGTTGAGACGTCAGATTTGGCGAAGGTTTGCCGTAGGACGGGCGAGGCGGGCCCGCGCTACGTTTTAGTGGCTGACGAAGTGTGTAGTTACATGGTGCGGGGCCACTCACGGTCCCACAGGTGTACGGTCGAGATGCGGGGTGTTCGCGGTGTGGATTTGCGCCGCGTGGAGTGGTGTGCGCAAAGCGGACGTAGACAGCTGTCGCGAGAGCGTTGGATGGGTGTGCGAGCAGTACGCACAGGTGTGGGATAACGAGAGGTCGTTGGGTGGGGAGGTGGCGGCGCGTTTGTGGGTGGGGAGGTGGGTCCTCTGCATGCAGATTGGTGGGCGAAATGCACGCGCAGTTTGGTAAGTGGGCGACGAGAGTGGGTGTATTCACTCGTTAGACCAACGGGGTGCTCACATGTGTACGGCGGGGATCGTTGCGTGAAGCCGCCTCGATGAAGGCCGCGTCGCAAGGGGATACGTACGCTATGATGCACAAGCACTTTGGTGTACGGTGTCATGTGACACGTGTGACGGGCAACTTTATCGCAACTTTCTGGCAAGATCGCGGTTGCTGGGAGGTTCCTGAAATGTGTCCGAAATGTGGCGAAGGGGTCACTTTTACGCAACGTGCACCCTTGCGGGAATTCCGATGGTTTTGACCTTCACTGGAAAACATCGGGGCCGGGTATCCAGAAAGTAACTTTTCTGCAGTTTTTTCGACACATTTCCGCAATACCTTTTCCGCGATGGCGCGCTAGCATAGCGCGCTCAGCAGAGCTGCGCTTGCCAGCAAAACGCGCGCCGCAAAGCGGCACCTGCATACCGCGCGGCGCAAGAGACGCATGTGACGCTTAGATGCCCCAGCAAACAGCACGCGGTTGCAAGCACGCGCTCTCCAGCGAAATTCAGTCTAGGAGCGCGCGCGAGCCAGCCATCCTACTGCAGCCACCAGTAACGCGCTGCTCGCCTCACGGATTTCTCCAATACACGAAATGCGTAAGGCCGCGTCCACACGTTTGGACTCATTTCCGCCCCTGCTTCCCCTCATTTCCGCCCCTGCTTCCCCTCCTTTCCCCCCACGCATCCCCTCATTTCCGCCCCTGCTTCCCCTCATTTCCGCCCCTGCATCCCCTCATTTCCGCCCCTGCTTCCCCTCCTTTCCCCCCACGCATCCCCTCATTTCCGCCCCTGCATCCCCTCATTTCCGCCCCTGCTTCCCCTCCTTTCCCCCCACGCATCCCCTCATTTCCGCCCCTGCATCCCCTCATTTCCGCCCCTGCTTCCCCTCCTTTCCCCCCACGCATCCCCTCATTTCCGTCCCTGCATCCCCTCATTTCCGCCCCTGCTTCCCCTCCTTTCCCCCCACGCATCCCCTCATTTCCGTCCCTGCATCCCCTCATTTCCGTCCCTGCATCCCCTCATTTCCGCCCCTGCTTCCCCTCCTTTCCCCCCACGCATCCCCTCATTTCCGCCCCTGCTTCCCCTCCTTTCCCCCCACGCATCCCCTCATTTCCGCCCCTGCATCCCCTCATTTCCGTCCCTGCCTCCCCTCCTTTCCCCCCTTGCTTCCCCTCCTTTCCCCCACTTCTTCCCCTCCTTTCCCCCACTGCTTCCCCTCCTTTCCCCCACTGCTTCCCCTCCTTTCCCCCACTGCTTCCCCTCCTTTCCCCCACTGCTTCCCCTCCTTTCCCCCACTGCTTCCCCTCCTTTCCCCCACTGCTTCCCCTCCTTTCCCCCACTGCTTCCCCTCCTTTCCCCCACTGCTTCCCCTCCTTTCCCCCACTGCTTCCCCTCCTTTCCCCCACTGCTTCCCCTCCTTTCCCCCACTGCTTCCCCTCCTTTCCCTCACTGCTTCCCCTCCTTTCCCCCACTGCTTCCCCTCCTTTCCCCCACTGCTTCCCCTCCTTTCCCCCACTGCTTCCCCTCCTTTCCCCCACTGCTTCCCCTCCTTTCCCCCACTGCTTCCCCTCCTTTCCCCCACTGCTTCCCCTCCTTTCCTCCACTTCTCTGCCTCGCCTTTCACCCCCGTGCTTCCCCTCCTTTCCCCCACTGCTTCCCCTCCTTTCCTCCACTTCTCTGCCTCGCCTTTCACCCCCGTGCTTCCCCTCCTTTCCCCCACTGCTTCCCCTCCTTTCCTCCACTTCTCTGCCTCGCCTTTCCCCCCCGTGCTTCCCCTCCTTTCCCCCACTGCTTCCCCTCCTTTCCTCCACTTCTCTGCCTCGCCTTTCCCCCCCGTGCTTCCCCTCCTTTCCCCCACTGCTTCCCCTCCTTTCCTCCACTTCTCTGCCTCGCCTTTCACCCCCGTGCTTCCCCTCCTTTCCCCCACTGCTTCCCCTCCTTTCCTCCACTTCTCTGCCTCGCCTTTCATCCCCGTGCTTCCCCTCCTTTCCCCCACTGCTTCCCCTCCTTTCCTCCACTTCTCTGCCTCGCCTTTCCCCCCCGTGCTTCCCCTCCTTTCCCCCACTGCTTCCCCTCCTTTCCTCCACTTCTCTGCCTCGCCTTTCCCCCCCGTGCTTCCCCTCCTTTCCCCCACTGCTTCCCCTTCTTTCCTCCACTTCTCTGCCTCGCCTTTCCCCCCCGTGCTTCCCCTCCTTTCCCCCACTGCTTCCCCTCCTTTCCTCCACTTCTCTGCCTCGCCTTTCCCCCCCGTACTTCCCCTGCTTTCCCCCGCTGATTCCCCTCCTTTCTTCTCCTCATCCCTCCTCACCCCATCCTTTCTTCTCCTCATCCCTCCTCACCCCATCCTTTCCTCTCCGCATCCCTTCTCACCCCATCCTTTCTTCTCCTCATCCCTCACCCCATCCTTTCTTCTCCTCATCCCTCCTCACTTTTCTTCTCCGCATCCCTTCTCACCCCATCCTTTCTTCTCCTCATCCCTCACTCTACCAACTGGTTATTGAACGTAGTGCTTTGTTTACATACTGTGTTATGGTAGGGAACTGGCTACAAAAAGTGTTGAAGTCAGCAACCTGTAATGATGTCACAAAGCACTACGTTCAATAACCAGTTGGTAAAAACACAAACATGAGTTTGATGGCACGATGTGTTGGGTCAGTAAGAAATACCTAAAAGGGGAAAAGAGGGTGTGTTTATGTGCTAATGTTCAAGGCGGAAGATTGAATACTTGGATCGTATAAGGACAGGCCGATTGACCGAGAGGCTTGAAGCTGCTTTGCTCGTAGCCGTTGCCATGCTCCCCTGCCATTCCCATTGCAATCGCAGCCTATCCAAGCCCAGGTTGCAGGCTGTTATGTGCCCTGTGAGGCGTAGGATGTGCAGTCAGGAAAGCACCCCACCTGCAACACAAGCACAGAAATCGAGCAAGGGAATACAATGTGAGGGCTGTAGGAGGTCAGATTCAACTAAGAAAGAAACACATAAGTGTGGGGGACCTGGAGGGGCAGGGTGTGAGCAGAGCGCCCTTGGTAGAGGAGGGGGTAAGAAGAGGTAGGAGAGGGGAGGTGAGAAGAATGCCCCTGGTAGGGGGATGGGAGGTGAGCAAAGAGTGCCTGATAGGGCCAGGAGAGGTGGTAGGGGAGGGGAGATGAGAAGGGAGTAGGTGGCAGGGGAAGGGGAGGTCAGATGGGAGTATGTTGTATGGAGGGGAGCAACGATGTGAGTAGGTGGTATGGGGAGGCGTGGTGGGCTGAAATCCCGTGGTAAGGGGGGAAAGGGAAGGTGAGATTGGAGTAGGTGGTAGGGGGAGGGGAGATGGGAGTAGGTGGGGGTAGGTGGGAGATGCATGTTGAAATTTCCCATGGCAATGCCGCTGTTGCTTGGGAGGTGACGACAAGAGAATCGAAAGGGGCTTGGTTACAGGTTTAGCGGAAGGGAAGGATGGCAGTGAGGATTGCAAGAGGAGAGATTGGCTGGAGGAGTGCGTAAGGAAGGAAGGATGGGGGACAGGAAGGCAGGGAGAGAAGGGAGAGAAGGGAGAGAAGGGAGAGAAGGGAGAGAAGGGAGAGAAGGGAGAGAAGGGAGAGAAGGGAGAGAAGGGAGAGAAGGGAGAGAAGGGAGAGAAGGGAGAGAAGGGAGAGAAGGGAGAGAAGGGAGAGAAGGGAGAGAAGGGAGGGAAGGGAGAGAAGGGAGGGAAGGGAGTGAAGGGCGAGGAAGGGAGACATGGGAGAGAAGGGAGGGAAGGGAGTGAAGGGCGAGGAAGGGAGACACGAGAGAGAAGGGAGAGAAAAGGAGGGAACGGAGAGACTTCTATCGAAGGGAGAGAAGGGAGGGAAGGTAGTCAAGGGAGGCAAGGGATGAAAGGGAGTGAAAGGAGAAGCAGGAGAGATGTCGGGAGGGAGAGACGAGGAAGGGTAGGGATGAAATGGAAGGTAACGGAGATACGGTGGGGGGGAGGAGAAGGGCGGGAAGGGAGCGAAGGTATTGAAGGGAGAGAAGGGCGGGAAGGGAGAGAAGGTATTGAAGGGAGAGAAGAAGGGCGGGAAGGGAGCGAAGGTATTGAAGGGAGAGAAGGGCGGGAAGGGAGGGACGGGAGGGACGGGAGGGACGGGAGGGACGGGAGAGAAGGGAGAGAAAGGAGAGGCAGGAGATTGCATGGAGGGATGAGAGGGAAGGGAGAAAAGGGAGAGAAGGTAAGGGGGGAGAGAAGGGCGGGAAGGGAGAGAAGGGGGGAAGGAGGGAAGCGAGGGATGGAAGAAAAGGAGGGAAAAGAGAGGGAGAGGAGGGAGGAAGGGAGGGAAGGGAGAGACGGAAGATTGGAAGTGGATGAGGAAGGAGAAAATGGAGAGAAGGGAGGGAAGGGAGGGAAAGGGAGGGAAAGGGAGAGAGAAAGATTGGAAGTCGGGATGAGGGAGGGAGAAAAGGGAGGGAGAGGGAGGGAAGGGAGGGAGGGAGGGAGGGAGGGAGGGAGAGAAGAGAAGAGAGAGAAGGAGAGAAGGGAGAGATAGGAGATTGCAAGGACGGATGATAGGGAAGGGAGAAAAGAGGAGAGAAGGTAAGGGGGGACAGAAGGGCGGGAAGGGAGAGAAGGGAGGGAAGGGCGGGAAGGAGGGAGCGAGGGAAGGGAGACAGGGAGGGAAGGGAGAGACTGGAGAGAAGGGAGGATTGGAGGGAAAGGAGGGAAGGGAGGGAAGGGAGAGAAGGGAGGGAAGGGAGAGAAGGGAGGGAAGGGAGAGAAGGGAGGGAAGGGAGAGAAGGGAGGGAAGGGAGAGAAGGGAGGGAAGGGAGAGAAGGGAGGGAAGGGAGAGAAGGGAGGGAAGGGAGAGAAGGGAGGGAAGGGAGAGAAGGGAGGGAAGGGAGAGAAGGGATGGAAGGGAGGGAGAGAAGGACGGGAAGGGGGGTCGGGCGACGGACAGGGGAAAAGGGAGGCGACGGGAAAAGGGGATCAGGCGGCGGGAATGCGCATCGGGCGGCGGGAAAGGGGAAGCGGGCGGCGGGGGAACGGGAATCGGGCGGCGGGAAGGGGCGGACGGGCGGCCCGCCTGGAATCAATGGGCGGGAAAGGGGATTCAGGCGGCGCGGAGTGAGATTCGGGCGGCGGGAAAGGGGAACCGGGCGGCGGCGGGAACATGAATCGGGCGGCGGGGGAACATGAATCGGGCGGGCGACGGGAAAGGGAAATCGGGCGGCGGGAAAGAAGAATCGCCAGGCATGACGGGGAATCGGGCGGCGAGAACAAGGAGTCGAGCGGCGTTCCGAATCGGGCAGCGTGACTGGGGTTTCATGGCGGCGGGGAAAGGGAAATCGGGCGCCGGGAAGGGGGATTAGGCGACGGGAAGAGGAACTTTGCGTCGGCGAAGGGAAATCGGGCCGCAGGAAAGGGAATGGCTAAGGCGTTCTCACTTTGATGCGGAATGCTCCGTGTATCAGGCGCCGAAAAATAAACAATGGCTCTGTCGGCGTATGACCTATGCGTGAGAAGAGCTATAATCGCAATGGCTTGCACCGCTTTTGGAAGTTACCTTTTTAGTGCTAGAGTAAGGACGCCGTGGGTGTGGGCATAGTGGCGAGGAGGTATGTCCTTCAGTATACTTTTGGCTAGGTATAAACTTTTGACGAGTGAGTCAGGTGACTGGGGTTGGGTTTGGACTTGTCGCTGTGTCTGAAGTCGAGGGACCCTGTAATTTGGTTACCACCATGTACCTTTTATAAACTTTTGGACTTTCCCCTGGCAAATGTATACCGCCGCTTTAAGCCATGATAACGACTCGGAGCCCATATATTGCTGACAACGCGGCAGTATTTATGATACGGTAAAATTGATTTTGTGAATATCCTACAAGGGTAAAATAGGTGTACCCACAAAACACACATCTTGCTCGCCCCGCCCCCTCTCTGCCCACCCCCTCCACTCCCCTGAACTGACCCTTTCGTTTTACAACCTCGGGAATCTCTTCCAAACAAACCTTGCTACTTGGAGAATGTCTGAGGGGTTGTTATTCATGTCTAGGCAGCCTGTTCAGCCATACTACACAGCTCATGTGCATTCGCTTTCCCATTGTGTTTCTTCCCACGTCAGAAAAAAGAGAATCCTAGTATGCGGCAGCACGTATCGTCATGATAGCCAGAAAATTTGGCGTAATTCGTGACAGCCACTAGCTAGCTCATGCGTGAACCCTTTTACGAGTTTCAATGGCTGGCTATAAAATGCCTACCCTTCAGAGCACCAATTTGCAGTCAGTTCTCTTGCAACCCTCGGTTAGTCTCAGGTTCAGAAGCAGCAGCGTTTTTACATCATTAGACCCTTAGAACGCTGACCTTCCTCATGCCTCAGAACCCTCAGAACGTTGCAGTGCAACACCTGCCAGACATGCTCGGGTCTACGTTTCTTGAAGCAGTGGATAATCAACGGCGGCTCGTTGATTCAGCGTTGAGCTTTCCCGATCAGTCCGGGCAGAAATTGTGGGAAGGAGTTACGGCTCAGAATGTCGACCCGGCGCTTCCATCTCCGCGTCGCGCAGCACCGCCTACTAAGAGTCCACGCGGGTCCGCGTCGCCCAACGATCTCAGCTCCCCCAAATTGCGGATTCCTAAATCGCCACGTCGGACGGTCTCTCAGCAACTTATCGTTCCCGATGGCGTTCTTGAATTGCCACGTCGGCCGGTCACTCAGCAACTTATCTTGCCTGATGACGTCCGTGAATCGCCACGTCGGACAGTATCTCAGCAACATATCGTTCCTGATGACGGTATTGAAGCAGTGGATGATCAATGGCGCGTTGATTCAACGTTGAGCTCTCGCGATCAGCCTGTGCAGGAATCTTGGGAAGGAGTTAAGGCTCTGAATGGCGACCCGGCGCTTCCATCCCCGCGTCGCGCAGCACCGCCTAGTAAGAGTCCACGCGGGTCCGCGTCGCTCAACGATCTCAGCTCCCCCAAATTGCGGATTCCTAAATCGCCACGTCGCACGGTCTCTCAGCAACTTATCGTTCCTGATGACTTTGTTGAAGCAGTGGATGATCAACGGTGCGTTGATTCAACGTTGAGCTCTCGCTATCAGTCCGTGCAGGAATCTTGGGAAGGAGTTAAGGCTCAGAATGGCGACCCGGCGGTTCCATCTCCGCGTCGCGCAGCACCACCTACTAAGAGTCCACGCGGGTCTGCGTCGCTCAACGATCTCAGCTCCCCCCGATTGCGAATTCCCAAATCGCCACATCGACGGACGATCTCTCAGCAACTTGCCTTTCCTGATTTCGTCCCTAGATTACCACGTCGCACGGTCTCTCAGCAAATTCCTATTTCTGATGACGTTCCTAAATCACCGCGCCAGACGGACCCCCAGCAACTTACCCTTCCTGATGACGTTCTTAAACCACCACGTCGCACGGTCTCTCAGCAACTTATCATTTCTGATTGCGTCCATAACTCACCACGTCGCACGGTCTCTCAGCAACTTCAACTTCCTGATGACGTTCCTAAATCACCACACGCAGCCCTTTCGCGCACGGCGCACGGCGGCGCGCGCAAAACCCCCCGCGCAGCCCTTCCGCGCGAGCTCGGCAAGCGAGCGCGGATGCGATAGGCTTGAGGGGAGGCTTGTCGGGCAAGGGAATAACAATGGGGAAGAGCGGCGGAAGCGTGAAAGGGGAACAACAGGAGCGGGACGAAGGGGTTTCGGGTGAAGCAGGAGCAGGAGCAGGAGCAGGAGGAGCAGGAGCGGCAGCGGCGGCCGTGGCATAAGAAGCTGCTTCGAGGAAGCTCCGTGGATCGAAGAACTGATTCCAGCCGTAGCCTTGGCGGGAAGGAGGATCCGCTGCGCGCCGATGGAGGATCGAAGTGCGCCCACCAATGGCACTCCACCATCGAGCGACGTACGCCCGGCGACCTTGTGTCGGAATGGAGGCGGGAAGGGAGGAGGGAAGGGAAGAATGAAGAGTTGAGGGAACCGAAGAGTCCTTGAGAACGAAGGCTGGAAAGAAGAGCAAGGAGAAAGGGGTCACGGAGGATAGGGAAGACAGGCAGGGCAGGGACGGCAGGCGGACGAGGGGAGAATGGAGAGGTGGAGGGAGGGCGGGAGCGAAGGAGAGAGGGGCGGATGGAGGGAGGGAGGAAAGGAGGGAGGAGGGAGGAGAGGAGGGGAAGGAAGAAGGGGCGGAAGGGAGGAGGGACGAAGGAGCAGAGGAATCTGGTGATGACGTAGTTTACAGAAGGCTCTCCTTCGCCACTGCTTGGTTAAATGGCTCCACACCTGAGTCGACTCACAAGTCAATGAAGGGAACTCAAGATTCAAAAGAGGAAGCTCACGAAGGGGCAGACGAATCTGGGGATGACGCGGTTTACAGGAGGCTCTCGTTCACCACTGCTTGGTTAAACGGCTCCCCTCCTCTGTCGACCCACAAGTCAACAAAGGAAACTCTTGATCCAAAAGAGGAAGCTCATGCATCAGCAGAGGAAACCGGGGATGACGCAGTTTACCGACGGCTCTCTTTCGCCGCTGCTTGGTTGAACGGGTCACCTGCTCAGTCAACTCACAAGTCAGTGAAGGAAACACACAAGCCAACAGAGGAAAATCATGCTTCAAAAGAGGAAAGTCATGAGTCAGCAGAGGAAAGTGGGGATGATTCTATCTACAGAAGGCTTTCATTCACGACTGCCTGGCTGGGCTCGCCTGGGGAAACTGCAGCAGTGGCAGGTGGTACAAGTGGTGCGGCAGCTGCAGCAGGAGGAGTGGCAGCAGGAGGAGTGGCAGCAGCAGCAGGTGCAGCAGCAGCAGGTGCAGCAGCAGCAGGTGCAGCAACAGCAGGTGCAGCAACAGCAGGTGCAGCAGCAGCGGTTGCCAAGGCGGAGTGTCAAGACTCCTTGATCTCGTGGCTCACTCCTCGAGTCAAGCCAATTAAGCGACAGCACCTGCAGCAGCAGCAGCAGCAGCAGCTCCCCTCAGCCCATCCGCCCGCCTCCTCTCAGGCTTCTGCTGCTTATCTGCCGTGGCAAATCCAACCTCAATACCCACCTGCCCTTCGAGCCCCTTTCGCTCAACCTCCCCCCTATGCTTCCCCCACGCTTTCCCACAGCAGCAGATCAGCCTACCCCAAGCCAAGCCCAGCACTCCTCAGACGCACTACCCTCAGATCAACCCATCTGAAAGCACTGGTTTAGAACCCCCCCCTTCAGATAAACCCTCCTCAGATCAACCTTCCTCAGATCAACCTTCCTCAGATCAACCCCCTTTGATCAACCCTCCTCGTACACCAAGGGGTTTCGATCCTTCCGCCTGCTTCCCCCTTCCTACATAGCAGACGCCTCCCTGCCCAGACACATGCACATGCACATGCACATGCACATGCATATGCAGATGCACAGACACAACCGCATGCCCATGCCCATGCCCATGCCCATGCCCATGCCCACTATATTCTCACCCCCTCTCTCTCCTCCCTCCAATCAAGCTTCAAACTCCGGGTTTCCCCACCCTTGGTCTCAATACCCCGAACCTCTTCACCTTGGCTCTCCAAACGCTACCCTGTCAAGTCATGATTCGCCCGATCCCTCATCCCCTCACTCACTCTCCCATCACCCCTCTCCTCTGGCAGACTCTCCCCACTCCCAATCCGCACACCTTCCCCCCTCTTCCCTCCTCCCCCAAACCCTCTTTTTCCGCTCTCGAATCTCCCATTCACAGTCCTGTCCCGACTTTTCCCCCTTCTCCTTCCCGCTCTCCCCAGCGCCTCCCTCTCAGATGCTGCAGAAAGTGTGGGAGGCAGAGGGGGCATGTGAAAGCGGGGACTCTCAGAGGGACCTGTATGGGCTCGTGACTCCTGATGCTGAGGGCCCCAACCCCTCATCCCCTCACCCACACTCCCTTCGCTCCCTCTCTCCCTCTTCTCTTCGCTCTCCCCACTCCCAAACCGCACACCTTCCTCCCTCCTCCCTCCTCCCACAGACCCTCCCTTTCCGCCCTCAAATCCCCCACTCACAGTCCTGTCCCAACATTTCTCAGTTCTCCTTCCCGCTCTCCCCAGCGTCTCCTTCTCAGCTGCTGCAGAAAGTGTGGGAGGCAGAGGGGGCATGTGAAAGCGGGGACTCTCAGAGGGACCTGTATGGGCTCGTGACTCCTGATGCTGAAGACTTGCACGATTGTTGGCCTGCTGCTGCTGGGGGTAGTGAGGCGCTGAGCAACTCTATGCTTTTTGCTGCTGGTCTTTGTAATGGGCTGAGCGAATCTACTATGCCTGCTGCTGCTGAGGTTATTAAGGGGCAAGGTGTGGAAGGGACTGGTGAGTCTGGA